TGATAAAATCCTCCAACCAATATAAATTTAAATGAAATTTAGATTTTCCATTAAGTATATATTAATCTTTCAGATATTTCGCAGTGACAGGAATAATCATCCCTATACATTCTTATTTTACAGACTTTGTGTCTTCATAATACATCATCTTTTACCAGTTATGTGGTAATTTTCGTTAGTTTGTCTAGATAAAAAATGAATTTAGACAATTTAGGTAAATTATTATTATTGTTTCCCTTAATTCCTAGAGGAACACAGAGCTTCAGTCGCGCATCTCCACTGCGTTTGGTTCTCTGCTAGAGTTTTCACCTGGCTCCAAGTCTGCCCACACGCTTTCATCTCCTCTTCACATGACCTCCTCCAAGTCACCCTCGCACTGACGACCAACTCGCCGCTTCCCTTTCTGGTTCCACTCGAGCAATGGCTTGTCTAGTGATGTCACTTGATGGTTTGATTTCTCAGAGTATGGCCTCCAATCCACCTCCATTTCCTCCTGCCTATTTGTTTCACAATCGGTTACTGATGGGTTGGTTCGCTCCCAGAGATCTTTATCGGTAAATAATTCCCCAGAATTATTATTCTCCAGCCTTCGTCATTCAACATTGGAAACTGTCCTTCACTAGTGTAAGTCAACTGTTTAGGCTGAAGGTACCCGGTCAAGCATCGCCATCAATTTGGCATGCTGTCGTGTTACCTTCAATTATTTGTGCAGTGAGGTACAACGTAGTATTACTTGTCAGATACACGAAACACATGTACAAAAAGTATAGTCACTACTGTCAGTCTACTTCTTTTTCGTATTCTGCTAAACCTAAGGATACCCATTGTATAGCAGCCTAATGGACGATAGTGTCCGGCCGCACATAGTAATTTAAGCTAAGTTTTCTCTGGAGTTCTAGGACTAGTAAGATCTTTCTGGAATCTGATAATCTAAGGGAACTTGACATACTACTTGACCTCCACATAAAACCCACATATACATCATGGTATTGGATAAGCCGAATTGCTTTGTTTTCGTAGGCTTCACAAGATCCTTTAATTGATTCAATTTTTTTTCTATGTCAGTTCATTGGTTTAAATGCCACTTTAATGCCTACTATGTACGGGATCAAATTTAGACATTCAGGAGCCTTTTTTGTATAGTGACTATACCTACGATTTAAATCCACCTTCCTGATGTTGCGGTTCTTGTCATAATTGATGTTCGTTTTTTCATACTTTCTTATGTACTTCTGAATAAATTTGTCTGAATAGTTGGTTGTTTAAATGTTTTCATGTGATAGATTTTGTTGTACTGCTTGGTTATTTCCCCCCCCCATCAGTTAAACATCCTATTAATTTTGTTTCACTGACAAAAGGTGGGGCAACATGAAGTCCGAATACCAGTTAAATTATGTATATTATCCAAACGACCCATCTTATACCCTTTGAATTTTATAATACACCACTGACAGCTCTCCTATGAGACTCTATACAGCATAGATAAATTTGATTGCGCCTACCGCTGAATTTTCAAGTTTGAAAGCGGTGTTTATCTATTATATTCAACACTAGAAATGTGTGATCTACATATCTACACCAAATTTTTGAGATGGAATTAAAAGACTACTCATAGCTATGTCTGTCAAAATGAAGTATTTCGAAGTGTCAGTTTAGCTGATTTAAACATCAATCACAAAATGACATCAATTATAGAATCACTAAAACCAAGGAAGAAGTGGACAGCTATTTTGTCCTTGATGTGGTTGTGTTCTCTCAGCTGGATAGTTTATTTGCGAAGCTTTCATCGCCCTACTAGGCAACATCTTCAGTGCATACTTCAATTTGATGAAGTGAGCTTTTAGATTTCTCCACGAGTTTATTAGTCATCTCTCCTGGTCAACCTTGAACGTGATTGGTTGGCGATATCAGGTTTGATTGCAGAAGTAGTGATGCAAAGGCTAGAAAACATAATCCTACCAAAGATCAAACCCAAAATTTGGATACGTTACGTAGATGACACATTTGTAATAATCAAGAGAAACGAGTTGGATAAAACTCACAACTTAATAAACAACGTCTTCAACGACACCAAATTAACAAGAGAAGAGGAATCTGAGAACGAAATCCCATTTTTGGACCACAGGGGAATTAGAAACTCAAGTTTATATAAAATCAACTCACACAGACCAAATACTGAATTACAACAGCAACAATCCAATAACACACAAAAGGAATTGTATACAAACACTATTCAAGACGGCCAGTCAGAACTCATTGCAGCACTCTCACCTTAAGGAAAGATATCTCATGGACGTCTTCCAAAAGAATCGGATATCTACGGAACATCGTCAAAAGACATCTATCCCCAAGCCAACCTATCAAATCAAGGCCCCCAAGGAAAGCGCAAAGAAAATCGTCCTACCATATACAAAGGTCCTCTCAGAAATCACTGCAACACTCATCAAACCTTTAGGAATTGACATCGCACACAAACCAACAAAATCACTTCACTCAGTTCTATGTCAACCAAAAGACTCAACAACGAAAGAAGATAAAACCAACATCATCTACAAAATATATTGTAACAACTGTGAAAAACACTACATTGGCCAAAGTGGACTACCCTCCTCTTCGTCTTCGTATCCATGAACATAAGCTAGCCGTCAAAAGACATGATATCCACTCCCTCATACCACCTCACTGCATACAGACAACCACGGACATCAATTCGACTGGGACAACCAACGTTCAAATATTAGATAGAGGAAACAACAAAAATGCTAGAGAATTTTTAGAAGCTTGGCATTCCAGTGAATCATCAATCAATAGATACATCGAGACTGACAAAATTTATCAACCGATGAGAAAGAAATCTCACAAACAAAGGGTCAAAGTTCAAGTCAAAGAAACAATCAGTTCCAATACAAGTAGCCTAGAATGTGTGAAAACACACAAAAGCAACCAATCACGTCCAAGGTCACCGGGAGAGATGATTAATAAACTCGTGGAGAAATCTAAAAGCTCACTTCAATTCAAATTGAAGTATGCTCTGAAGATGTCGCCTAGTAGGGCAATGAAAGCTTCGCAAATTAACTATCCAGCTGAGAGAACACAACCACATCAACATCATCCACCTGAGCTACAAATCTTCTCCATCATACCTATTTTGTCCTTGTCCGGCACTCTTCAGAGATCACACCCATAACACCAAAAGGGATCAAACAGAGAATCTTCAGGTTAAAAGGAGAGCTTATATGACACTGAACAAATGAGATGGAATCCGATGGTTCATAAATTCTAAATTCTGCCGGTCTGTGACATATAGTGTAACAACCAGTTAGTGTCATCGGAGAGTATTTGCCCTAACATCCGATGTGATGGACCCAACCTGTGAGGATTTCTCACTTGAACCAGGTAACTTAGTCCTGCAGTCAGTTACTAGTGAGTCTTAGAATGCGTTTTGGGTGTCACTTTGTAGGGATTTGATTGATATATGCGAAAAACTTGCGCATTGGGGTAGAATGTAATTCCGCATTAATTTGCTTATTAGAAATATCACATAATCAAACAGTATTATTTACTGGATAACGTTTTGAACACAATTTATTTTTCATAATCACATCAATTATAACTATACAACTTCGAAACTTCAGTTTTGTAGTTTTCTTTATTCCTTCTTGTTCGTTATAGAAGTGGTAGAATTTTCCACATATCTAGGACAGGTGTTGAGTCATTCCTCTTGCACATATTTTGTATGTATGTTGTATAAAGTAGTCCTAATAATTGAGAGACCTTCCTTGGTGTCAGCAGCTAAACACGGTCTCCTGTATTAAAGTGTAATCTCAAAGGTTAAACCATTGTATCACAAATCACTCGATAATCGACTCGTATAAGTTGTATATTATTATTTAAGAGGTCGAATTAAAAGATATTAAAGCATCTGGGTGCAGAAACCGATATCCTCCGTGGCAACAAGTAATAATCATATCAAAATTTTTTATTTTATATTCTCCAATAAAATTTGAGTGGTGATTATCCTTGCTGCTAGCCTTCATTTCTACTGAATAAATTTCACTACAAATAGTATTCATTTTCAAAGCCGAAGATTATATTTTCATCAAGTACAACATTCAAGTTAATAGAGTTCCACAGCTAGCTGATATCGTCTTTAAAGGCTATTACCAGTATCGAGTGTCAAAGAATCATTATTTCTTTTTTGATATGGTTGCTTTCTGTGAGGGTGGGTGGTTTAATTATGGACCTTCCATTGTCTTTCTAGACATCATTTCAGCACTAACCTCAATAGAAAGTGAAATTGTTCAACTTCTTCATCAGTGATATAACTGTATCTCCTGACAACCTTTTTATGACTGGTTGTTAATGTGCACTATTATTGATCGCTTTTATTCATTAAATTTTTCAAATAATAACAACTTTATTCTGGACAAAGCGTTTACGCAATGTAAAGAATTCCCCGCGTAATGTAGTGCATACTATTTTTTCCATTTACCCAAGATCTTTAAGTAAAATGGAGACGTGTAATATGTCGCGTGACTCAGTTTTCTCGATCTGAAGCATAGACCGATCCCTAATGATATTTTCCCTTCTTCCTCGAGAAACGTGCACAGATATCTTCAAAGCCATTTAAAAATAAGTGTGAGTACACTTCACGACTCAAGAACATAATAAAATGGTAAAAGCTATAAGAATTAGATAAAATTTGATGCATTGTGTTGACTGGAATTTCAGTTAGCCCAGTAATTCAAGCAGGCCACCAATATATCAATGATATTAACTTGGGATATGACTGTTTTGTCTTTTGACTTATTCTTTATTAGTTGTGGATGACCGTCAGTTTACTATCAGCTATCGGCTGAAGTGGTGATTAGGGTACTGATTAAAGTGAAGGAATCGTGACCCAAATGATGAATGTGCATACTATGACTTTAGCGCGCTTTTGAACATACTCAATGCTTTTACTAGAAAAGGCACATTACAAAATCCATGAAAATACTCACCTTCCACTTTTGATCATAACACTGATTGATGACGTTAATTTCAAATTCTTTCTCTTTCAATTCATCTTTCAACAAACTGATTTGTCTTTTAAAGTCCATTGCCTCTTTTTGTAATTGTTCATTGTTTGTCTTTACTTCATTTGATTTATGAATACGTTCTTCAATTTCCTATTTTAGATAAGTAAAACAAAGAAGTGAATAATCAATGTTTAAGTAATATTCTTTTCTTTTTTGCAGAAACAAAATGAATTAATTTCCAAGTTAAGAGTATTTGAATGGTTTGATGAATATTTGATATCTGAATACATGATGTTAGATAAATTTGAAGAATTCAGACACTGTCATCCATCATCATGACCCTGTGTTCTAAAGTCTTTTTGGCTTTGTAAGGGTCACTTATCAATTAATTACTATAAAAATAGGATTTAGACAGTAAGGTAGAGTATGATTCCATTGTAGAGTTATTTTATTTAGTCAGAACTCAGTGATACATTACTTTTTATTTACTGAGGATGTCTTGAGCCTAATTTATTACTCATAACCATATCGACGTCCTTACATGACTTTCAGATTCGTTTATATAGTCCTATTATCTCATATCCTTTAATTTTATTTTTATTTTATCATTTTCCATATATCTCATATTTGTGTTGTGTTACCTGGTCACTATTACCGGTATTCAGTGTAGATTCGATGAACAAAGACTCAGTAATCAACCTCTCCCTCTACTTAACTATATTAATTTTTAGAACCGTAGCTCCGTCACACCCTACCATTGGACTTTGTGTTATCATAACACTTGTGAAACTGGTATGCATACCTTGTAATTCCCATATAACTATATCTCTTGTCGTTTCTCTTCCTGACTTTATGTACTTGGTGCTATGATCCATAGTGTATTCGCGCTGGTTGGTTGTTCAGTCTATGTTCTCTTCTGTCTGAAAGATGAAGCTGTAGCTCTAACCGTCCCTACATTAGTGCATGCATTGCGATCGCTGAATTTTTCTCCAACCTAGCAATCTTTTTGAGGCCCAAGTATTCCACACAAGAGCTAAATTCCTATGTTCCGATAATCTGTCTTACAATGATCAATTAAAATGATCTATGTTGCTGACCCCACAGTCAAAGCGGTTATCAGTGAATTTAACTGTTTAGTCTCATACAAGCATGTCTGTTACCAATGGCAGATCAGTTGTGAACTGACTGACCACGGTGTACGCACGTTTGCTGTCATATATTTAGGAGCATAACACCTTTCATCAGCTTTCTTTAGACGCCCTTACATCATTACTGACAACTGAAACCCTTGGCCCTTGTTTTCTTAAAGGTTTTCTTAAAATAACCAATAGAAATAATAAAATATAATATCGGTATTTAGGTAAGACATGCTTCATACAAACAAGAGTATCTATCCTCCAGCTCACTAAGTACCCGTTCTAGTGAGAGTCGAAAAAAATCAAAACAACAAACTGATCATCCAAGTGAAAAGATATAATTAGGGATCATTAACACAGAGAGATGCTAATCTCTTAACTAGCTAGGGATAGTGTACAAGCGGATGTAATACAACAGTATGCCCGTTAGTGTCTACGCTTGCCTTCGTACCTTCGGCGTAATCAGGTGACCCAAACGGTGAGGGTTAGTAGCCAGTGCTGAATTATGAATCCTGTAGGCTAATAATTTTGGGAGCACCACTTACCGCTACAAGAAGAATCAGGCTACGAAATCCCTACTTCAGATATCTTATTCAGAGAAACGAGTGCAGAAAAATCTGAAACACAACCGTGTTTAAAGTTAATCCACTAGTACATAAAAAGGAGTTGTATTCAAGAATCAGAGTACATTACATCAATTCTGTCTTGAGAAGACTAGAGCAGAGACAATCAATAAGCGTTGCAGATGAATGTGACCATTGAACGTTGGTTCGTTGGCCCTGATCGCCATTGGCGGCCAACTCGAAGGCGCGAATGATTCAATAGTGTACAAGTTGGAAGAAGACGAAGGAATACGAATAAAAGTACAGTACAGTCCTTGTAAAACATTTGTTTATAGACTTTGAACAGAGTGTTGACTTTAACTGCCGAATAATACAACTTCTTCTCATTCCTTGTGTTTTGGGATTAAGGTCGATATCGTACTCAGTGACTGTCGGTTCAAGCGTCTTCGGAGATAATAGAAACTTAGGGTTAAGTTCCTTGACAAGCGTCTTTCCAAATAAATGCATATCCAAAATAATTCGTCAAAAGATTTCTATTGTCAATTCAGCAGTTCAATGAGAAATCATCTGCTGAAGAAAATTTTATAAAACACTGATAAAATACTAAACATTCGTGTAACAGTGGTCATTCACAAACCACCGCTGTCTTTTCACTCCATAACATTCCATCTAAAAGATGCAACAACCGGAGAGGACAAAAATAACACCATGCATAAAATAGATTCCATGGAGTGTGAAAAATACTATGTTTGCCAAAGCAGACGTCCTCTCCAACATCACATCCACGATCACAAAATATCACTTGAAAGACATGGCATGCATTTGTTCATATCAATTCCTATGGACAACTATGAACATCTAATAAACTGCAACAATCTAAAAATCTTAGGCAGAGAAAACACAAAGAACATCAAGGAATTCCAAGAAACCTGGTACTTAAATTAATTTACAATTATCAATCAATAAAAAAAAGGTGACACCACTAAAAATTCAAATATCAGGTTATAGTGAAGATCAGTAAAAATTCAAGTGGATACAATCATGAGAAAATTCATAAGAATAACCAATCACAGTGAAAGTCATCAGGAGATCTCCAAAGGCTCTCTTCAATCTAAATTTAGCTCTACATATGTTGTCTAGATGGATAGCTAAAGCTTTTCACTCAAACAGTACAGCGCAGGGAACGCAGCACTACCAAAAACAATAATCTGAGCTATAAATCTTCGTCACCACTGGAATGGAAAATGTACAAGATAAACAATCTAGACTGTCACAATGGAAGACAAAACAATATAAACCCTCGACACAAATACGGTCTTTTACATATTAACTGACTCTTTATTTATTAACACCATTCAACAAACATTTTATTGACAACCCAATAAAGAAGAACACTTGTCCACATTTATGATGGTTTCTCAACAGCTGCTTGATTGGGACATCTTCCTGTATGAATCGAATTTTCAATTCTGAAATCACATAGTTCGTAGTGATACGTGGCCACTGAAGGTGGAAGACATGAAAAGGCTAGCTGTCTTTAATCATAGATGTCTGCATCCTATCTCAAGTGTTAAGTGGCATAATACGATAAGTAGTACTGAGGTTAGGAGTGAAGTGCTACACAAAAATGGTAGGTCAATCAATGAAGTTGTGAAGCTTCATCGACTGAGATGCTTAAGATACACGTTACGCATGCGTAGCCATCTCGTTCCACGACGAGAGACGTTAGCCGACATAAGGCTGGATAGGAAAACAGCTGGGAGTGCTTGAAATAAAACTATGCATCAGTTCATGAAGTCTTTGACATATGGTTTGAGCTAGCCACTTAGGAGTAGATTTCTTGGTTGTGGTTCTCGGGATGCTCAGAACTGGTGGCTGGAGACAATTGATAATTGGACTCAAAATGGTTAATACTATTTGTCCTGCACATTTTTGCTCATTATAGTTCTTTCAAATCTCTTTCCTTTTTTTCTGTACCCTTATGTACTTGAACTACCGCCCTTCTGTGCAAATTTCTATGTTGAAACTCATCCAGTCAGGTGACAATTCACTAAAAATTCGTTTGCAAACTGAAAATATTTAGATCACAGTATATGATCCCCATAATTTCACAAATTGTCTGAACTTATTCGGCTGTCTGAACTCAGTCAGACAAGATACACATCTGGTAAGCCTTAACTCTAACGGTCGTCTGGTGATTTCGATCACTTGGATCTAGCCACCCAGCGCTAATGACTGATGTCCATGGTCTCCAGCTACTCATGTCAGTCAGTGTAGTACACAATATCATTCAGTGTTTTAGTATAATTTAACTGAATGACTATGAAAAAATTCCCTCCTGAATCAGCTATTGAAAGTTTTGTTTTCAAACTTACTTGTTCCAACTGTTTAATTTGTCGTAAATAAAATGCCTTATCAGCATTATATTCAGAGCAAGTTAACTGAAGTTGTTGACTCAGTGCAAAACGCGCCGCTTCAGCAGATTCATATTTTAATCGAATTTTAGTCGATTGTTCTTTTTCTCTAGCTAGTGCTATACTCTGTGAATGAATAGAGAAAGCAAAGGAAAAAGGTAAAGAAAATTTGTTAATTTTGGTTGATAACTGTACATGACTAACAAAATTCTTTGCTGCATTTGATGTAATGTTTTCACATATCAAACACTTGTCCAAAGACACCAGTCTTTCACTGCATATTTACAGCTCTAATTAGGATACCTTGGACACCGGGTTAAAGTGGACTCCAGAGTCTTTTGTTTGTTTGGCCAGCAATTCTGTTAAGCAGCCTCACAACAAAGTGGAAGGATCTGAATTCTAATTTTCTAGGTGTCTTTTGCACTTGACATTCTTTTGACATTATAGAGTATACGCACCATTTCATATCAGGCCAAGAATGCTGGAATTCCACTTAACGTCTATCCAAATATCATAAATCATAGAAAGCTATTTGTTTCTTACTTCTTATGTCTCCAGGTATCTATAAGAAATTATTTAATTTATTTTAAAGGAGGCAATGCGAACGCAAAAACATTGAAAACCGTAGGATACGTGACAATTATTTCTTCATAGGTAAGTATTATCCATCCTTGATTCAGTGAGAAGTACCGTGCGGAACTACCAAGTGGAGGGGAGGAGGTACTAGTCGAAAGACAGTTACCCATGATTTTAGACTTCCGTGAATTCCCAGCGTAGTGGCAGGTCCAACCAATATGTCCTGCACTACTTGGTTTCTTATGCTATTCTAAGTGATTTTGACATATGATATTTACTCTAAAGTGGTAAAAAGGATCAGCTCTCTGTGATTTAGTAAGGGGAATAAATTTAAGCATACATATTTTATATTACAGGATTTTCATCATGAGCTGACATTAGTTAGAGAACCATTGGAAAACCTGGGAGTACTGGACAGTTGTTTCGCCCTAGTTTGGGACTCTTCATCAGTACGCACCCACCGGAATTCGAACCAGTGGGGTACAGCAGGTCGGGCGTGAGGATAAATACTCGCCGAAGACATTGGCTAGGGGTCGCGCTATGTCGTGAATTGGCAGAAGTTAGAATTCATGGACCATTGGATCGGGTCCCAGTGGCTTAATGGTATACGAGCTCGCCTTATAACCAGAAGGTCCTGGGTTCGAATCCCGGTGTGTGTACTGCTGAAGAGTCCCAAACTAGGACGAAACAGCTGTCCAGTACTCGCAGGTTTTCCAATGGTTCTCTAACTAATGTCATCTCATGATGAAAATCCTGTAACCAATCAAATCCCTACAAACCAACACTTGAATATTTTATATTATTATTAATATTCGTCTCTTCGATTCCCAGTGGAACATAGAGTTTCAGCAAAGCATTTTCATTTCTCTGGCCCTACGATTATCCTTACGTTTTCATCTCCTCTTCATGTTACCCGCATCATGTCACACTCATACACCCAGCTGGTCGCTTCCTATTCGAGCTTACTAGAAGGCATAGCGTATGACAACGCTTGAAGGTCTACTTAGCATATGCTCAGTCCATTTCATTTCTTCTCGAATATTTATTAGGAAAGAGGTTTATAATTTTTTTGGCACTGCACTCCATGGTGTTGAAGCAATCGTCAAATCACTTCATCGTCGACACATATCGAAGGCCTATCCAAAGTCCAAAAATCTGAGGTAAATGGTCGACTACCATTCAAGTGATGATGACAGTGTATGGCATTGCAATTTGATCTGCGCATGATTTTCTTTTCAAGAATCCCACCTCTTCCATTTTCAAGTAATAATTTAAATATCCTACTAAATCTGAACATTCATCACTGTATCACTACAAAACCATGCAATTTTGATTCAGCCGCATTACCATCTTTAAATCAATAATAAGTTGACTGAGGATTACTTATTCACAATGTGAATCATATAAATTGACTTTTATTGGTTGAAAACTTTAGTTAGAACTGAATACACTTAAATTCACTTCTAAAACTGTTTGTTATAGTGATAATGAGATTTCTATATGATGTGATTCATTGCTGAGGTTAGGTAATTTTTCCATGGAAACTGTGCTTAATATATCTACTGTACTAGACTTTAATTCCTGTCTAACATACTTCCTGATGTTTTAAGCATCTAACTCTCAAACTTTTGGTTAGATTGCAAAATTGCAAAGTTAGTGTATACGTCAGACATTTTCTCAATAAAGAATCAAATCATTACGAAATGACTATGTGTGCATAAAATTCCTGAGGCTAACATCTTCTAGCTGTTAAGAAGGAATAATTGCTGGTCAGTGGAGACAGTAAGGAAACAACGAAATGTAATATAATATTTAAATCTACCTACCAGATATTGTACAGCACTTCAACTAGGTTAAAATGTGGGAGGAAGCCTAATCCTTACCATTATTCGACAACTTTGTCAAATAAAACAAAAACTTAGATATGATAGAGAAGATTCGTAGCTCAGGTGGATGATTTTGGTGTGGTTGTGTTCTCTCAGCTGGATAGTTAATTTGCGAAGCTTTCATCACCTTACTACGTGACATCTTCAGCGCATACTTCACTTTGAATTGAAGTAAGCTTTTAGATTTCTCCACAAGTTTATTCATCATCTCTCTCGGTGACTTTCGACGTGATTGGTTGTTTTTGTGTGTTTTCACACCCTCTAGGCTACTTGTATTGGAACTGATTGTTCCCTTGACTTGAACTCTGACCCTTTGTGCGTGAGATTTCTTTCTTATCGGTTGATAAATTTTGTCAATCTCGATGTGTCTATTGATTGTTGATTCACTTGAATACCGGGGTTCTAAAAATTCTCTAGCATTTTTGTTATTTCCTCTGTCTAATATTTGGACGCTGGTTGTCTCAGTCGAATTAATATCCATGGTTGTCTGTATGTAGTGAAGCGATATGAGGGAGTGGATGTCATGTCTTTTGACGGCTAGCTTATGCTCGTGGATACAAAGACGAAGGGGACGTCCACTTTGGCCAATGTAGTGTTTTTCGCAGTTATTACAATCTATTTTGTAGATGATGTGGCAGGTCGCCCTGCCATATATAAAGGATATATCAGAAATCAATGCAACACTCTTCAAACCTTTATGAACTGAAGTCGGACACAAACTAACAAAATCACTTCACTCAGCTGGCTCCATGTCAACCAAAAGACTCAACAACGAAAGAAGATAAAACCAACATCATCTACAAAATAAATTGTAACAACTGTGAAAAACACTACATTGGCCAAAGTGGACGTCCCCTTCGTCTCCGTATCCATGATCATAAGCTAGCCGTCAAAAGACATGACATCCACTCCCTCATATCACTACATACAGACAACCACGGACTGTGATACGATTCGACTGGGACAACGTTCAAATATTAGACAGAGGAAACAAAAATGCTAGAGAATTTTTAGAAGCCTGTCTGGTATTCCAGTGAATCATCAATCAATAGACACATCGAGATAGACAAAATTTATCAACCGATAAGAAAGAAACCTCACACACAAAGGGTCAGAGTTCAAATCAAGGAAACAATCAGTTCCAATACAAGTAACCTAGAAGGTGTGAAAACACACAAAAACAACCAATCACGTCCAAGGTCACCGAGAGAGATGATTAATAAACTCGTGGAGAAATCTGAAAGCTCACTTCAAATTGAAGTATGCGCTGAAGATGTCACCTAGTAAGGCGATGAAAGCTTCGCAAATTAACTATCCACCTCAGAGAACACAACCACACCAAAACAGAAACTTATTCCTCCAAAGCCAAACATTTCATATCTTCATAAACTCTTTCAAGGTAATGGGCTTTACATTACCTAAATTTAAAATAGATGATATTTCCTCACTTTATGAATGGTCAATATATGTTCTACAAAAACGGTAGTTCACTTTGACCCTTCTGTCCACTGAACACAGATGTAGCTTCAAAAGAATAATGTCAGCAAATGTCAGCCTTATAACTAACTTAGATATAACCGCAACCTTTTTTCACACCTCGTAGTCTTCTCCTTATCCATCTTCAGTCCTTGCTTTCCGAGTGGAACAGAAGACTTGAAGCCCGAACTCTGAAGTTTCAGTAGAGGCGTTATTGTTTTTACAAGGTGGGGTAGCCAACCTCATGCTTAACCTTTCCTCTCCAATGGGTCTACTGTTGGCTAGAAAAGTAGACGAGGTTTGGTAGTACATCAGCCGGGAACACGCATGGCGAGTATTCTACTATTAAACTGCCAACACTATCCACTAAAGCAGTGGCATAAAACAAGCCAAATATTAAGCAATGTGAATAGCTCAAAATCCTTTAAAGTCGACCTGTGAATTTCATTAACAAAATTAATTTAAGCAGCCTCTAAACATTTAGTAGTATATATAAATAAATAAGCCTGTGTTATAGAAAAAATTAACATACTTGATTTGTAAGTATTTCTTCAAATTGTTGACAATCCAATTTACACTGATTTTCATTTACTCCGCCTTGAATCTGTTGACTTCTACGATATTCTTGTTGTAACTCTGTAATAACCTTTTCCAAGGATTGTTTACGTGTCTCTAAGAAATCTAAGTATGTCTGGAGCATTTCACAGCGTATTTTAAGTAAGTCGGTCTTTTGATAGATCTCTTCATAATGTTTATATACATCCAAATGCTTTTCTGGTGATCTGAATCTCTTTTCGTTGATCTTATTGAGTTTACTGATAATTTGGGCGAATTTTTTATCTGAAAGTTCCTAAATTTATAAACGATTAACAGTAACATTAGTAAGTTGAATAGTGACCATTCTTCTTTTATATGAAAATGACATTGAATTCATCGTGAATATCAAGAAAACTTTTGATTTATTTACGCCATGATAGAAAGCTTGCAGTTAATTCCCCAGGATACTTACCACACACTGCCCACTTACTTAGAATGGACTGAAAGCAGGACATGATGATCTATGCCTATTAATCCCATGCTGAAAGAAACCAGATAACTGCTCGATTATCTTTGTATGTTATATTATATATTATTATTATATCCTTGAACTCTGAGTGGAACATCAAGCTTCAGCAGCACATCAGTGTTTTACTCTCTTCTTATCAACCTTTTATCGCTGGCTTGAAGATTACCCATAAACTCGGATTTCCTCTTCACATAGTCTCCATCATGTCACATCCGGAAATCTAGCTAGTTGCTTCCCGTTCGAGTTCTACTCGATAGCACTCAACGGTCTTCTCATTGAGTATCCAGTTCATCTCCATTTCCTTCTGCATACCTGTTGGGCGATAGGTTATCGGTTGGTTTGTTGCTAATCCTTTCTGGACATCTGTTATTCACTATGAAGCGAAGGCAGCAACTGATGATGGTCTACAGGAGAATGTTGGAAATGTTTTTGGAGTGACGCGCGCGCCGAACCTTTGAGTCCTATAGATGCACTGATTTGACATTAGTGCTGAAAATCCTCAACTTGATCTTTGTGCTGAATTGTGTAGATCTCCACACTGATTTAAGCATGATGAAGGTCTGTTTTGTCTTTCTAATTCTGCCTTTGACATCTTAATCTGTGCCATCCGTAGTTGAAATTAGTGGAAGATGTGACTTCCTTTGGATTTCTGCTGTTATCTTGTTATCTTCTCTATGTTCACTTGAAGTCCTGTCTTCGCTTCCTGCCTCTTCCGCCAAATTTTTGGTTTTCACGTATAGATCACCGAGTATGTGTGAAATTAGACAAAAGTCATCCACGACGTTCAGAGATTTTCGAGTATCTTCTTTTAGGCATTAACGTATGCACGTCTTTTCAATCCTCACGGTCTTTTGCTCGACTATTTGCAAATATTTATTGTAAGTAGTTTTATATTCCTTGCTTAAGAAACTGAAAGTCACACAATATAAAACTTACACGAAATGTATTTTATTTGTTCCTTTGTATAAATGGAAGTGTATTAAATACCTTCATATTAAGTTTCATTATTGCTTAATTCAAAATATAATCAACTGCAGTTTACTTGTAGGTCACTTAAATCACTGCGCTTCCATAGAAATCTTTCAACACATTTAGCTCAAAGAATTACTTAATATTTCAGGCAGAAAGTCCAAGATCTATGCTTGACTGTATGCTAGCACTCGTTGGCAAGACGTATCCGCAGTCACCTAACATCAGTCAGTTCAGAGTGTTCTGTGATGGCAAGTCGCCCGGCGATCACACAGTATTGAATTAACTTAGCACCAAGACAAGGCACTATACACACGAAAACTGGTTGCTTACTAGTCACCAATCAACTAATTACTTCGTATTTTCATTAGTCAATTGATAGGGATTTCATTGGTTTCAAATTAGATTTTATCAGGAACTGACATCAATTAAGGAACTATCAAAATCCAAGGAGTAATGAACACCTATTCCATCCTACGTTGTGGATTTTTACAATCACTTCTTGTTTTGGCCTGATTTTGAATTCATAAATATGTTTATTTGCCTACCATTGATGCATTTACTTTCCTTTTACGAATCCAGTTAATGTTTTCTTCCTTTTCGTACAATAATACTCAGTCGTAAAATACACACAATATTTGACTAGTAGTTTTTTACATATGCTTCATTGTGAAAGAAGTTGGTGTTGAACATATCATCAAGTCGGGTGACAAAATGTCTCCATAGATGTAATTGAATTTTAGATTTTCCCGTCGATTTATTGGACCGAAAATATGGGCACTGGGTTCAAGCCTCGGTGAGAACATTATCACTCACTGGGGAATGCAGGTACATCCACTGGCTGACGAGTCCCAAATAGGACGAAATGCGCATCCTGGATTCCACTGCTAGTCACCATCCACCAATTAAAGTCTCCATAGTTGGTTGGATGTGTTGATCGCTTCCCTAAACTAGGAAGCCGCATCATCTCTAATGGACTAATTGTTGAAGTCTCAGCCAGAATAAAATAAGACTGTTTGACATTTATCAACCTATGTCATCTTTGTTGCCATTATGACACCAGTCTTTATGTAATGCCAAAGAGTTTACCCTATCCCATTTCATAGCAGTTGAAAGTTAAAGATATGAAAAGATTAGTGAATGTCAGAAATTTGTGCATCTATTTAATATCTCATGTTGAACGCAGAAATATGATAAGTAATAACGAAGTTACGTGTAGAGCGTTAAGTAAGAAGAAAATACTATTCTATGAGGGTGCGAAGCCTTATCGATTGACAATACTAGAATATGTGTTATTTATGTCAAACCTCCTCCTGCCTTGAGGAGAGATTTCATCACAAAAACAACTAGATCGAGGAAACGTTAGATAGGATCAGACGAATACAGGCCTAGTTCACCTTTAACTGTCAGTATTAGTCATATAAGAAGGTGTAGACTACTTGGCTGGTGACTTCAAGAAACTGAGAACCATTGCTTGGAAACTACTACTGATGTGGTTCAAAATCGTTCCCACTGTCAACAATACATTCACAAGCTGTCATCAATCGGATTTTAATTTTCACTTAATTATGCTTTAAAGTGTGACGATAGACTGATATCGGTTAGAGAATCACTGGAAAATAGGGAGTATTAGACAGCTATTTCGTCAAAGTCTGAGACTCTTCAACAGTACTCCGCCATAAAACCTCTGGAGGTCGAACCTAGGACCCCTAGATTACTAGGTAAAGCTCATTGACCATTCAGCCACTGGGATGGAATCCAATGGCCCATGAACTCTTACTACAGTCAATTCTTGATTTTTATCACCATCGGTGAGTATTTGACAGATATTAGAATTCCCAGGGCATTCAATTTCGTCCTAGTGGTTGAATGGTCAGCGAACTCCCTGCGTAACCTGAAGGTCTTGAGTTAAATCTCTGACTCTAGGGTCATGCATATGTAATTCTGAAGAGTCATAAACAAAGACGAAACAACTGCTCAATACTCCCTGGTTTCCGTTTTTTTCTAATTGATATCAATCCGTGATCAAACTTGAAACCAGTCGAATCCCTGTAAACTAGCACTCCATATTTATGCTTTTTCCTGTAAATCTCTCTCCCTTATAGTTTCATTATATTTCTTTCCCCAGTTTCTATGTGAGTTATTCTACGTTGATAATCTAGTCAGTCAATTCTGAACCTTCTACAGGTTTCCATTAAAGTAAAGCAGCATCTAAAAACTAGTCAAGTCCAACCGAACAATAAAGTTATTAATCAGGGTAATATAAGGTGGTTAATAGTCACTTACATTCCCTATAATCAGATTTAAATTTCCTTACCAAAAACCATTACTATTTTTAAAAGTAATCAGTGAAAAGCCTTTTTTACATTCCTTTACTTTCCGGGTAGAACATTAGGCTTCAAGCTTTTTTTTTTGATGGGATAGGTTGGTAGCCTCATTCCCAAACTTTCATCTTTTCTGAGTTTAATACCAACTAGGCGAGGCTTAGGAGTAAGTCGTCATGGACCACGTGCATGGCTAGTGAGCATTCTACCCCTTAACCACCGATGCACCCTAAAATGTCTTTGTCCTTCACAATCTTGTCTCACTTAATACAAACGATTTTAATTATAAGAAAAAAGGAATCATTGTGTCAACTTACACTTAGCTCTTCATCACTGTCTTCGGCTAGAACATCACTGCTACCACGACCAACACAGTCCTCACTTGCACAATCCTCCTCCAGCTTTTCTTGAAGAAGTACATTCTCTAGACTTCTTGACCTTAGTGCTTTATTCTTTTTCGGTGTATACTTAAGCGGTACTGATCTCAAGTCACTCAACACCTTTTCAGTTTTCAACTGAATATCTTGACTTAATTTATCATATGGATCAACAATGGTAACCTTCTTCCTTTCAGCATTGAATGTATCCATTGGATTTGGTGTATAATTTGTAACAGGATTTAAAGATTTGTTTGGTGATTCATTCTGTTCAAGGAAAGATACTTCCAAGTCAGTTTCATTGTTCGTCAAATTAGGATTAGGCAACTTTTTCTCACTAAATGATTAAAAAGGTTATAGAAAACAAAAGGTAACGAATGACACTAGTCAGCAGTATTGAGCATTGAATTTGTTTAAATCAGCATTTTCGATTACAATTTAGATATTTAGGTGCATACTGTCACTATTGTACACCTATCTATGCATTGATTATTATTCTTGGTACTTTTATAAACCTATAATTATCTCATTCACTTATAAATTCATACTGCGTATCTTTTGGTTGGTTTTTATCCAATCAACATAAAGATAAACATCCATTGTCAAGGTGAAATCTTCAAGGATTGAATTCACCAGCACTGATTAGATATTGAACTATTGGACACAAGTGAGATTACACTATGATATATATATATTTGTTTTTTTATCATTTATAAAATTATCTTTATTTTAATTAAACACTGTTATTCTACTCTACTCTAATAAAAAGAGAAGTTACTTACATCTGTGAATTTAAATCACAAGTTGAACCATAGCTGATTGAATCAGTTTCATTGAAAGTTACAGTCTTCAGGGTGTCTTTATTTGAATTATCTAAAATTTTAAGGGACGAGATAGGAGGAATTAACTCCTTGGAAGAATAGTCCAAGATAAAATATTAATTAAAATGATTATTTCATAAACACACCCAGTGAATAATTAATATATGTATGATTGTTATTTAATTTTAGCTCTAAGAAGGGTACTACAATTATTGTTATTATTATTTGTTCCCTTGGGTTCCTAGTGGAACATAGGGCTTCAACTACACGTCTCCATTTGCTTCTGTCTTCTGATGAACTTTTCACTTGCATCCATGTTAGTCCATACTGTTTCAACTCTTCTTCACACGATCTCCTCCATGTCACCCTTGCACTGACGTCCCACTCGCCGCTTCCCTTTCGGCTTCCACTCGAGCACTGGCCTGACGCATGATGTCACCCAGCGGCCTCCTCCTCAGCGAGTGTTCAATCCATCTTCACTTACTCCTGCATATTTGTTGAGCGATTGGTTCTTGCTTTGTTTGTCCCATAGTCTCTTGTTGGTGATTCCTTCCGGCCATCTGATCTTCAGTATAGAGCGACGAAGACAGTTGTTGATAAATGTCTGCAACAGGCTGTTGGAAATATTCTTTGTGACCCACCAAGTTTCTGATCCGTATAGAAGAACTGACTCACTTGACGTTTGTATTGAAAATCCGAATTTTGTTGTTGATGCTGAGTGACGAAGATTTCCAGATTGGTTTAAAAAGAATTAACTAAATTCTGATTTCTAATAAAACCATGAAAAATTATTTCATTACCTAAAATTTACATCATATTGTTGTTTAAACATGTTAGCGAAATATTTGTAAAAGGGTTTAGTTCATGGAAGTAAACGATTTTATGATGGATCCTTCTCGTATCCCTTAACATTTCAATCTTTTGGCCATCATTTTCTCAATGAAGTCGAAGTTTCTTAGGAGTGAAACGAATTCCCTTTTGATGGACCTAAGTACAGAATTTGATAGTGACAATCTAACATAACGCGACCACGTTTTATAATGGAAGTGGTTTTACATTACAAGTCCTATTGTTTAATTGGTGGATGATGACTAGCAGTGGAATCCAGGATGTGCATTTCGTCATATTTGGGACTCGTCACTGGATGTACCTGCATTTCCAAGTGAGTGATGATGCTCCCACCGAGGCTCGAACCCAGTGTCCATTGTTTCAAACGCCAAAGCGTTATTCGCTAGACCATTCTGGCCACGAGATCCACCTCTTGTGCAACGAGTCATATTGATTAAATTGAATTTTAGATTTTCCCGTCGATTGTTTGGACCGAAATGCTCGGTCTCAGGTTGACATGTCGGCTTCTTGAGCAGACGCTTCGACGACGTCTGTGCATTTAATTAGTATTTAATTGGTGGATAGTGACTAGCAGTGGAATCCAGGATGCGCATTTCGTCATATTTGGGATTCGTCACTGGATGTACCTGCATTTCTCAGTGAGTGATATGACCCGTTGCACAAGAGGTGGCTCTCGTGGCCCAAGTGCTCCAGCGAATAACGCTTTGGCGTTTGAGACAGTGGGCACTGGGTTCGAGCCTCGGTGGGAACATCATCACTCACTGGGAAATGCAGGTACATCCAGTGACGAATCCCAAATATGACGAAATGCGCATCCTGGATTCCACTGCTAGTCACTATCCACCAATTAAATACTAATTAAATGCACAGACGTCGTCGAAGCGTCTGCTCAAGAAGCCGACATGTCAACCTGAGACCGAGCAATTCGGTCCAATCAATCGACGGGAAAATCTAAAATTCAATTAAAGTCCTATTGTTGTTTTAATTAGCCCAAAATACAACACAGATTTTTACACAGTGAATTCTGTCGTTATTTAACTGTTGAAGTATTATAAAGATATTGGGAGTGAAAATATTCAGTGAACACTTATCCATCACTTGGACCAATCAAGCACTTTAAGTCCATCCCATATTACCATTATTACTAATCCCCAGAGTTCCGTATGGGACAGGGGACCTCAGTGGCACATGCCCACTCCACTCAGTTAACCGGCTGTCACTTTCAGCTCGCTCTACAACTGACCACTAGCTTCGCTTCCCGTTCATATTATTATTTGCATGTCACATTCAGATGAGCAGAGTATTGCTTCCCATCCGGAAAACACTGGATAGCATGGTGTGATCTGGCACTTGAAGGCCTCCCCAGCATATATCCAGTCTATCTCTATTTCCTCTTGTATATTTATTGAGCTATAGGACCTTCTTTGGTTCACTGTACTACCACAGTCCCTTGTTACCTATTCTTTCTCGTCGACCTATACTGTCGAAGAAAGGTTTCTGTTAACTAAAGTCCGGAGCCTATGTGAAGTGTTCCTGGTGACGCGCCAAGTCTCTCAACTTCATAGAAGGACTGACTTCACATTAGTGTTGAAAATTTGAATCTTCGTTCGCGTGCTGAATGCCTTAGATTTCTGCACTGACTTCACAGTAATAAACGCCCATCCTGCTTTTCCAGTCATGAATGTGCCGCCACTTATCGTTTAAACGATGCTGCTTAGGTTAGGTAAGTGAAGGAGATAACTCTCCTTGATTCTTCCCCCAATCATCGTGACAGGTGACTGCTTTCTTCATCATCTCTGTCTTCTCTATGTTACCTTGGAGTCCCGTCTTCAATACCTTTCCATCCAAATTATTGATTTTCTCTCACATGAATACAACACTCCGTTAGATGTTTACTTTAAGTAGCTTGCTTACTACACAGAGGAATGAGTACACTGAAAGAAAAATACTCTTTCTATATATACAACACTATATGCACAGTATTCAACTGGAGAGTTCTGCCGACATTTTATGAATTCATTATATCTTACTTTATATTACCGGTTGTTACTTGTTTTATACTTCTTCAGAACAAGACACAGAAAGTAAAAAAAAATTTTCAGCCCAGAATAATGATAGGGAAATAAAGACAGAACAGAACTGTTACCTTGTAAGAAACTCAGTGTAAATTTAGAATCTGTTGACAGTGTATCCATTATTGACACGGCATATTCTCCGAAATCTATTGAGGGAAAGAAACAAAAAAAATCAAATGACGTATAGATTTTCACTCCTACGACACTATAGTTTTAAAACAAATAGAATGACAAAATTGAGTAAACTTTAGTAAGAGAAAAACGGAAAATACCACTCAAACAGCCTACTAAATTTGATGCCTTGTGTGGTTTGCTTCAATGGAGTATAGAATTAATTTACAACTATTTCTCTTAGTGTATAATACATATATAGGAACTGATATATCCGACAAAATTATCAGTGATATTCGCTGAAATAGTAGGAATAGGAAAGGTTCGGTGTTTCCTTTCTGTATTCAAAAAACCCCTTAACAAAGCGTTTGATAATACATGAGTGTTAACAATGAAAGGACGAATATATTTGCAGGATTACACACCTATTTTATTTATTTCATGGATTTTCTCAGCTGAGTGCATTCTAAACAATATCAAAATATGTAAGCTACAAAATGATGTCTGAATATACTGAAAAGAAGTCATTTTTTGTGTGTCTAGCGTTCAAAGACTGACTGACTGACTGGTTTCAACATAGAACTTTGCACAGAAGTGCAGCAGTTTGAGGGGCACACTGCATGTAGTACACAAAGGTAGACAAAGAAAGAAAAGTAACATGGAGAAATATGTGGGTTTTATTGGATATAGCAGATCACAAAGAGTAAATACATCTGCTCCACTGAGAATGATTTTGAGCCATGTCAGTAATAGTCTTCAGTCATTGATTCTAAGAATCCCGACGACCTCAACCAAGTAGTCTATACCTCCCTATGTGACTCAAACTAACTGTGAGATATACTTTCTCAACACCCCCTTCATGACCAAACATTGTGGTGAGTGCTACTTATAATCCGATATAAGTATTATATCAGAATGCGAATTCAGAAGAGTAACAATATGTTTTGCACACTGGAAAGAACGATCAAAGAAGAGAACCATGAAAAGAATGTTGCCATATGATGCAGAATCCAAGAAGCTATCGAATGTGACGATATTTTACCAATTCGTCAAGGATATTGCAAATGATGTGCAAATGGCATTTTGAAAATATGGTATATTAAATTTACCTATGTACGCTATGTACAATTCGTTTCACCTAATAAACATTCCTTTCAGCCTCCTCGGTCTTTTATTCTTTACAATCTGTGCCTCCCTATGTGTCTCTAATTAATTGTGAGATATACTTTCTCAACACTCCCTTCACGACCAAACATTGTCATAGTAACTATCGATCGACGGAGTCAAATACCACTTTCAGGTCAAGAAATATGGCAATTGTTCGACGCCGATAAGTATGTCCATGTTCCAAAATCTGTCGAAGAGTGAAGATATGATCAATACACTGTCCTCCTGGTATAAAGCCTGAGTGGTTACCTCGTGTTTATTTCTCCAGAGAACCACTTAGTTTAGCACATTAGATGCCAAACTGGTCAAGCTAATCCCCCTGTGGTTATAACGGGAAGGCTTGCTTCCCTTCTTCTATTCTAGGATAATCAATAGCTTACACCAGTCCAGCGACATGTTTTAGAAAACCCTATTTAGCCCAGAAAGCGATTTGATACCACCATCCCTAGGCACCTTTGGAGTCATTTCATTAGG